ACTTGTTTGACTAGTTACAAGGTGCAAAATATTTCTCCAAAATTGATTTGAGGGCCAAGTACCATCAATTGAGGATTAAGAGGGAGGACATTCCTAAAACTACTTTAAGGATGCGGTATGATCATTATGAATTTTTGGTGATGTTGTTTGACCTTATTCACACTCCGAGTAGCTTTTATAGATTAATGAACATGGGTGTTTTATCGCTTCCTTGACATTTTTATGATAGTGTTCATTGATAGTATTTTGGTGTACTCTAAGAATGAAAGGGAGCATGAAAATTATCTAATGTGAGTATTATAGATATTAAAGGATCATAAGTTGTATGCTAAGTTTTCAAATTATGAGTTTTGATTGAAGAATGTTGCATTCCTAGGACACATTGTGTCTAAGGATGGGATTACGAGTGCACCCAAAGAAAGTAGAGACAATAACCCATTGGTTAAGACCTACTTTGGTTATTGAGATTCGAGCATTTTGGGTTTAAGCTGATATTACTAAAGGTTTATGGAAAACTTCTCAAGAATTGTAGTACCATTGACGAAGTTAACTAAGAAGAATGTGAAGTTTTAATGGTCGGATAAGTTGACTAACTTAAAAACATGTTTGGCCATGACATCAATCCTTACCATACCCTTGAAAAGTTATGAATTTTCAATGTTTTACATGCCTTAAAAGTAGGGTTAGGATGTGTGTTAATGTAGTATGGTAGGTAGTAGCTTATGCTTCTAGGCAACTAAAGAAACATGAATAGAACTATCCTACACATGACCTAGAATTTGTAGTAGTGGTTTTTACCTTAAAAGTTTGAAGGCATTATTTGTATACGAGAGACTTGTGAGGTCTACACGGATCATAAAAGTACGAAGTGCTTATTTGACCAAAAGGATCGAAATTTGAGGCGAGATGAGATAGATGGAATTACTTAAAAATTATGATTGCATTATTTTCTATCACCCAAGTAAGGCTAATGTTATGGCCAATTCCATGAGTAAGAAGTCGGCAAGAAATTTGGTGTATTTATCGGAGAAGAAGTGGTTGTTAGCATTGAAAGTGTATAGATTATGAGATTCTAGAGTGATGTTTAGAGTTAGTAAATCGGGTATTCTTTTGGTCCATGTTAAGGTTAGGCCAATTTTGATGGATCGGATCCAGTGAAGCCTAAGTAAATGATGAAAAAATACAAGATATTTTTACTAAGATGCAAGAGGGAAAAAGTTCAAGGTTTAAAGTGGATGGTAGAGCTACTCTATGGTTTCATCGAAGGTTATGTGTGCAAAAGAATCCAGAGCTAAGAGAAACTATTTTGAGAAAGGCTCACAATTCAGCCTATTATATACATCCTGGTTATATCAAGATGTATAATGATCTTCATAAGCATTATTGATGGATTGGAATGAAAAACGATATTGTAAAGTTTGTTTCATAGTGTTTAACATGTCGGCAAGTAAAATATAAGCACTAGAGACTAGTAGGAAAGTTGTAAGAGTTTTCACTATCAAAGTGGAAATAAGAGAGAGTGCCAATGGATTTTGTGACGGGTTTGTCTCAAACCGGAAGAGATATGATTCGATTTGGGTTATTATAGATAAATTTACTAAGTACTGCTCATTTTCACGCAGTAAAGACCACCTATAGGTATTTTCAATATGCGCAACTATATATTGATTAGCTAGTGTCCTTACATGGCATTCTATTTTTCATCATTTCAAATCGAGGTATTCGGTTTCCTTCTTGATTGTAGAAGAAATTACAAAAGGCTCTTGGTATAAGATTAGACTTCGGAAAGATATTTCATCCTCAAACGGACGATCGAGTCAAAAAGAATGATTTAGACTTAGAGGATATACTTAAAGCTTACGTGATGGATCTAAGAGGTAATTGGGATCGACATTTGCTATTGATCAAATTCGATGAAATAATAGTTATCATTCTAGTATCGGTATGGCACCGTATGAGGTTTGTATGGCTAGAAGTGTAGATCGTCAATATGTTAGGTGAAAATCAATGAGAAGGAACCTTTAGGGCTAGAGTTGATTTGACTTATTATCGAGAAGGTGAATTTGATCCGGGTATGCCTTTGGATTGCACATGGTAACCGAAAGAGTTATGCGGACCCTGCAAGGAGACATGTGGAGTTTCAAAATAGCGATTTCATATTTCTTTGAGTTTCTATGATGAAAGGAGTAATGCGAGTTTGGTAAGAAAGGAAAATTGAGCTCGAGATATATTGGATCATTTGAGAATATTAGTCGAATTAGAGGAATGATGAGTTAGCACTACCGTCATAGTTTTTTAGTGTGCTCCTTATGTTTCATATTTCCATGCTAAAGAAATTATACTCGCCCGGTCGTATATCTTAGAGCTGCAAATGGTGGATTTAAATCTTAACTTATCATATGAGGAGCTACCGATGGCAATAGTTGACCATCAAGTTAAGAAATTACATAATAAGGAGATTGTGTCTATTAAGGTCGTTTGGAGGAACCATTCAATCGAATAAGCCATTTGGGAGGTTGAGGAAGAAATGAAGAGGAAATATGCTCACTTGTTCACTTACTAAGGTATGGTTAGAATTAAATTCAAGGATGGATTTTTTTGAGGAAAGAATGTAATAACTTATCTTAATATAAGATTTAAGGTAATAACTTATATATACGTTTAAAAATTAAAAAAAAAAAAGATAATCAAGTATTTTAAAATTTTATTAGGTGAGATAGATCATAGTACGGGTATTGTGAGGTTAGAATAGAAGTTTTTTTTTAAAAAAAAAAGAAAGGGTTAGCTTATAAAAAACAAGACAAGCTAGTGTCCTTCACTTTTATTTCTTCTTTCCCTCCCTTTCTCTTCCTCATTCACTCTCCCAACTTCCTCTCATTTCCCTCATCTACATTCTAAGTTAAAAAAATTACCTAATTAACTTCGAAAAACCATAAAACAAGTTGATTAAAGTATGTTTTAGCTAGAATAAAGCTTGGAAGACTTGGAGGGTTTAGAGTTGACATTAAGGTTGAAGAGCCAATTATCAAATGTAAGAATTTTATCATTTAGTCTTTAAATAGAGATATTTATATGTGTTATTGATGATTTTGAAGTTAAGTTATATTAAGATTGTTGTTGGAATGAAATATTGAGTTAGGTTAGGATTAGGGCTTGAATCAAATTTAGAGGTTTGTTGATTAAACAATTAATTATGTTAATTGATGTTGAAATATGATAATAATGGTGTGAAATTGATTATTAGACTATTAGTTAAGAAATTTTCAACTTAGTTGAAGATTATGAATAGTAAGATATGAATTTTGAAAGGTTGAAGATGATGAATAGTAAAATCTAAAATTTGAGTTATTTGTTAATTGTTGAGTAAAAAGTTTAATTATGAGTTCATTAATTGTAGTGGAATATTTATTATGGTTGATTTAATGATAAGAATTAAATTGTTTTGGAGATTAAAGAAAAATGATGGATTATAGAGGTAAGTTGTGGGGATAAATTAAATTGGGAATTGATGATGGAATATAGTTAGGTAATTGTCTAAAATCAGTTGAGAGAGTAAGAATTTAGTTAAAATTATTGGTTTGAATCTTTTCGATCAATTTTATTCTTATAAGTCATCTTGTATCTCGATTTCTAGAATAGTTCATTTGTTTTCAATTATTTTTCAATATGTGATATTGATGATTATTCCACCATTTTGTATCATTAGATTCTTTAGAGCGAGACAACTCCATCTCGGCAATCTTGATTACGTTCGATCCTTTTATTGTACTATGAGTGGATAATATATAGCATATTATGCTTTTAAATTCCTTTGATATATCTATCATACATCATTGATTTAACTACGATACAATCACATTCATTAGAACTTAAACAAGAGCGGACCTCTTGTGCATTTGAAATGATTTCACATTGAAAATGGTTTGATATGATTTTAAAAAAGGATTTGAATATATGTTTGAGTAAGTATTATACTTATTTATTGACAAAAAAAAAACTATCGAATATGCAATAGTTAATCTATAACTATTTATGTGGACTAATTTTTTTTTCTATACACTTTAACATGTGAATTCAACAATCTTTGTTTCATATTTGAGAAAGTTCATGTTTAGCATCATTATAGCTTGAACTTTGGACCAAGATGTTGTGCGTAAAGCAGAGTGCTACTCAATTTAGGAGAGATTAACTACATTGTTCAGAATTCATTCCTCCCGACCAAACTGTGTTTCTCTTGGAAATTTTAGTTATACAATGGAGGTAGTCTTTCTTCGTACACAATAATCAAATTAAACTCAAATAGAATTCGAACCTGTTTTATTGACAAAAAAGCCTATCAAATATGCAAAAGTTAATCTATAACTATAGATTGTGGATCAATTTTTTTTTTTCTATACACTTTAACACATGAATTCAGCAATCTTTGTTTCATATTTGAGAAAGTTCATGTTCAGCATCGCTATAGCTTGAACTTTGGACCAAGATGTTGCGCATAGAGTAGAGTGCTGCTCAATTTAGGAGAGATTAACTACGACAGATTAGAAGTGATCGTTTGGTTTTAAAAAATTTTAGTTCGATTAACCAAATTTACAAGAAAAAAAAATCGATTCCAAACCGAGTTATTATTCAGTTTTTCAATTTAAAAACCAAAAATTTGGTTTTTTAGTTTTTGGTTTTTTTTTTAATGATTTTTGTAATTTGTTTAAAACAATATAAATAGATCAAAAAAATATTATCAATCCACTATAAATCTATAATAATGTCAAGGTATTGATTTTTTAGTTTATTTGGATTATTTTAAAATATAGAAAAATAAAAAAATGGAATGAACTAAAAATATTAAAAACCAAACCAAGCCAACAAAACTAAAAGAAATTCAGTTTTTTTATGATTATTTTAATTTTAAATTAAAAATCAAACTAAAATTGATATTTCAATTTGATTTAGTTCTGTTTTTTATTTGAATCTAACCGTGCTAACCGTAACTCATTTCAGCTTACAGGGGTCGTCCATCAGCCTCGGCTAAAGAAAGTTTACATGTATAATTGCTCACTGATTTGAATTAAAAAATTTAAATTATTGAATTAAACAAGTCAAATCTCTCATTTGCTGCGTATGGATTCAGAAATCTTCACAGAACGTACAAGCGCACTTAGCATAAACTTTAAATCAATCAATTTGCTTAGCTAGTTGCCTCGCAATCATGTAAAGATATTAGATACTTTAAGCATTCTACTTCTATCTTGACCACTTTCAGATTTTAAAATAACATTTCAATGGAGTGCATGCATGCAAAGTTCGTCCAAGATAGATGTGCTGTCTAATTAACATTAAAACGTTACACTGTTTTGGTCCAACTTCCCAAACTTTTGCCTTTCTTACATCTTTTGGGAAAGAAACTCCATTCGTGTACAGAGCACATAAAAAGCAAGAAAAAGATTGCCGTGAACATCAATCGATAGCTAGGCTATACATTTTCATGAATGTCTGTCTCAACATGCAATTTTGAATCGACCAAAATAATAAAAAGAAAATCACTTTTTGTCCTTGTCATTTCTTTATAGTGATCATCAATGTCTCTACTAGTTACTAGCTTGTTGTCCTCAAAACAAAAAGATCAACAATCAATGGCTATTCTCAGCCATCATAGGAATCAATCATCTATCTTATGAGTTTTTTGAAAAATACTACTATGTTTGGATAGTTTTTTGTTTTCTCTTCTTTCAATTGACAATTTAGCTTTGCAGGAAAAGTAAGAACAAACAAAGTTTTTCATGTCTTTGGTGAATGAATTTTATTTGATTAGTTAGTTATCACAAGGAAGAAAAAAAAAGGGGGCTGCAAAGCAATGGCTTGAATTGGCTATTCCATGTAAAGATTCATATGAAAAGTTTTGGAGGAATGAATCTTTTGACTAGCGCATTTTCGAGTAGATGATTTCAATTTTAATTTTCTTTTTCAATGATAGTTCTCTTTATCAAAGTTTTTGGATTTGGATCACTTCACTCAATTCAATTATAGAAGAACTTTTCTTTTCTTTTCTTTTTTCCCCGAAGAAGATGGTTTCGTAAGTTGGAAGATTATCATTCTCATATAAGAACACTTTTCAAGGAAAACATCAACAATTTTTGTTTGGTTCATTTGTCATAAAATTAGGATATGAAAGGAATGTTACATAAACAGAATAAACCAGCTTTTAATCATTGATTTTTTTAAAAAAAGAACAAACTTTGTAATAGATAAGTTTCTTAAAAAAATATTGACAATGAAATCAAATAGTGATGATTAAATAGAATATTATCAGGTTTAAAATTTTGGAGCATACGAACATGACAAATTAACATGGCATTAGAATTGACAATTTAAATTAGTTTCAATTATAGAAGCCCCTTAATTTTATAAAAGAATACATTTATTAATTAATTTAGCAAGTTGAACAAGTACAATGCATTAAATCAATAGCTTTGCTCTAAGAGACTATTGCTTGGGCTTTTATTAGCTTCAATTTTCCTAAAATTAGGTCATAAATAGGACTATCAACGGATCCGATTTAGATTCGATCATAGTATATTCATATTTATTTTTTTTAATTGGTGAAACCAATCGAATTGAATCTTATGAATTTGGATCGAGTTTTAAAAATGCAAAATGAATTCGGATCCTCACGGACTCGGATTGAATTCGAAGCTCTATCGGATTTATCACTAAATTTTTATAAAAAATGTATACTTAATACATTTTACATATTGTTCAAATATAAAATATATTTAACCAATATAAGTATAATAAATATATATTAAAATAATATTTTATTTATTGATTTTGTAAGAAATTGAAAATGTCACACGATTCAAAAGTACAAAATCAAATAATTTTAACAAAATTTTGTCTTTAACTAGGTAGGAAGCATGATAAAATTAAAAGAAACAAATAATAAATAATTTTTATTTCTTGTCTATGTGGTAAAACAAATAGAGTGATGACAAATATAATAACACCAACTTTTAAAATGGTATATAAGTTAATTATCTTTTTTCACGAAATTGAATTAAAAAAAAAATCACAAGAAATTTATATGTCATTTTTAAAAAATACGATCGTCGATGTTGAAGGATATACGTTATTTGAATTTTATAGTAAGTGAACTCTAAATTTCAACCTAGTTTCATAATTATATTTTTTTTCATATTTAAATTTTTAATATTTTTAAAAAATATTTATTTATTATAAAAATATTATTTTTAATTTTGAATCGGGTTATTATTAAATTGGATCAAGGTATATCTGAATTTTATTTATTTAGTAAACAAGTTAATGAATTCGAAATATATTCAAAATCAAATAAAAAAAATTATATCTATTTAATTATATCGGATTGGGATCATTATCTTATCCATAAGTTAGACCAAGAGATTGGATTTTAATATTTCATCTGTTCATCCAAGCATTGCACATTTTTTCGTCTATAATCAGTGCACGATTCCCTATTTCGTAGCATCTAAATATTTGGAAAGATACAAGGAGTGACATTATTTTCAGACTTCTATATACTTTAAGATTTATTCCAACGAGAATGAGAGAAAAAGAAGGGTTCCCTCGCTTACACAAAAGCAAAATTATGAAGGAAAGATTGAATCCAAACCAAGGAAATGCATCAGTTTAATAGTGTTGATTGCGAGTCACTAAAAGGAAAAAGTGCACGGATTCAAGCAACTAATAATTCCGTGAGCTACTTTTACTTTAAAATTGGAACCTTATTTTGATTAAAAAAAAAAATTGTTATCTTATTTATGTAAATTTGTTATCTTATTTGTTTGAGCCTGTTTTGTTTTTGTGCATTGATTCTTTGTGATCAAAATTTTATTTCATGGTAAATGAAATTTATAGATCACTTGATGATATTGCTATTAAAGTATCTATTCATTCATTTTTATTCCGTGCATCAAAGTGGAGACGTAAGTGTTTTTTTTTTTTTTTTTTGCTTGCATGCATCAATTTATTGTGTTTGCTAACTCATATTCCATTATATTTCCAACATAACCCAAATTCACCCGAGAAAGGGACAAAAATATGCAGATTAATACAAAAGAAAGCATGCACATATAGGGTCCCTTAGTCTTTAGAGGCTACAACTTGACCCCATAGCTCGCCACCAGTATCACCAAGTTGAAGCTGTTTTCTTTCATGGTGGAATCTCTAAACAACTTGGCTAGATAGATATCCAACAAAAAAAAACCTGCACGAAACTTGTCCATAAAATTCAACAATTTAACCAAGAACCAAACTATTGAATCCAACAATGATATTTAGTTTCATTTCATTTCATAATTTGAATATATCATTATGTAATCGGTCTGATCATAGTTTAATTAGTCATAGTTTAATCGGTGAGAGAGAGAGAGGGCATTTTAATGTTAATTTTAATATCAATAGAGAATAAAACTATTATTTTGTAGACTAAAATTACAACACCAGAACACTTTAATCATAGTTTAATTACTTATTTATGAAATCTAATCATGGTTTAAAATCACTTTTATGGGATGTCTCAACCTATCATTCTGACAATATCACATCTGTTTTGGAACAAAATAGAAATCATTTTGAAAAGAAGCAAACTGTTTCAGACACACTAAAAAAACCAATGCTTTTTGAATTTTCTTAAAGCGTTGTACAAAATGCCTCGAACTATTAAATAATAGGCTATTCATGTACTTATATATGCTACAGATTTCACAAGCTATTCAAGCACAAGAAATCAATCCATGATCTCTTCAATTCTATTCTAAGCCAAGTCCTACTCTCCCCTGTTATCTCCGATATGAAATTAAGACCAATAACAAAAAGGCCTTATTTTTAGCATTCACAATCTTGAGCGTCTAGTTTCTTTTGATCCCAATATCGTAGCCAGGACACTCATGCATGCACTGACTCATGGAATCGAAACCCAACTTACCATGTCTCCCGGGCAAATATATTTTCCTGGCATTGCCTCGGCAATTTGCAAGAGCCCCCTCAAATCACCCAATCATGATAAGGCCATCCTTAGTTAATCATTGCAATTTGTTTGCACCAACAAGAAAGGGAAAAAAAAAAAAAAAAGCCTTTATTTTTAGCGTTCACAATCTTGAGTGTCTGGTTTCTTTTGATTCCAATATTGTAGGACACTCATGTCTGCACCTACACATTGAATAGCAGCCCAACATATCATGACACCAAGGCAAAGTTATGTTCCGGTCATTGCCAGGCAATTTGCTTAGTTGATCATGGCAATTTGTTTGCACCAATTCTTGTCGGTCCGACGTTGCAAGACATGACAAAACGTCTGCGCTATTTTTGGGAGGTGATTAGATGCCCATTTACATCATTTGGTGCTCCACTTAACCTCATTGATCATTGCTTCGCCTTACCCTTCATGAGCTGCTGGAACTTGATATTTTGGTCATTTCATGTGTAGCGAAAATAGTGGTTCCTGATGAGTCCTTGGTTTTAGTTTAAATTTATTTCGTGTCCTTGTACCTTACAATACTGATCAGTTTAACCCTTTTATTTATGTATGGTACAAAATAAATTTTATATTTATGAAAATTAAAACTAATCAATCACTCTACTTACCTTTATTAATTACGTATTATTATATAATTATTCAAATATTAAATTAAAAAAATAATTTATTTTAACATTCAAATTTATTTTAAATTATACTTAAATAAATAATATTAGATAATACGAGTATGTAAATTTCACCCTTTGATTCTGTGGTATTCAACGCTGAAACGATACTACACAAAATCGTGGTCTCTGTTGCCTTGGCCATGGTGGGCCCCCATAAAACCGACAGGGGGCTAAAAGTGAAGGAGACAATCTCACTCCTGATCAAAGGGTCTATGATTGCCTTTATAGTTTCCTAGTTGGTCTAAATTCTTCCGTCCGACGAAATCCTCTATGTAATATAGTTAAATCCAAAATATTCTTAATTAAATTAGCTTAATTAAATGGATTCTCGTCCAAAGTACTATAGCTCTAAGAGTTTCTTAATAAATTAATATACACGTATTTTTTACATCTCGCCCAATTCAACAATTTAAATTTAAATTTAAATAAGTTAAAATAATTTAAAAAAACTAACGACAATAATTCAACATCTTAAAAAATATATATTTATTGTAATTTTCAAGTTAAGATATACTTCCTTACATTTTGCATTTAAAATTTACATATTATCTCTATAGTTTCCTTATACTATTTTGTTTTCAAGTCTATCATATCTTTTTTTTATTTGAAGTTAATACTCTCACCTATCTTTATATTATAAGTCAATTTTTTAATTTGTTCTTAAAACCTCCCCCACCCCTCAAATATGTTCTTATGTTTTGAACTTGTTTTTAATATATTCTTCTGGTCAAAATTTTTAGCTAATTTTTAAAAATTAATCTCTATATTAATAGATATAAATTACTTATATTAAAAACAAATACAATTTTATCAAATTATATACCATGTGCATATCACAGAGTTTATTTTACTTAATTTAATCAAAAATTTTAACTAAAAAATATATAAGAAATCGATTAAAAAAAAAAAGACAGATTATAGGCATTTAAAAAAAAAAACAAATTGAAAATTTGATCTATTAAGTATTAACTCTTGTATTTGTCCTTTAACTCAAAACTTCTAGTTTTAAAGTTGGTTATCCAAGCAATTGGTGAGATATTTCAATTAAGCATTGGAAGCAAAGAATCTCTTTTGGAGAAAGCATTGTTGCAAGGTGATTTATGGTGATGAATTTGTCCCCTTTAAGGCCATTCGTAATCAAAGACATTGCAATGAGTAGATGATGATGGCTAGCCAGTCTCATCAATTGTCCATGCCATGGTTTTTTTAGCGAATCCAAGAGACAAATATTGACAGTGGTCACTCAAATGATCAGTTGTATTATACGGCAGAGTTGCATAGATTTCCGATCTTGTGGTGAAACTAGAATTTAAGGGAAGCTCAAGATGCTAAAAAGCAACTTGAAGAATTTCTAGGATTACGATACAACGAACAGACTTGTAGTGACACTTAATAAAAGAAATGGGGTTTTTCTCATCGTCAACCAATTGATCTCACGTCATAGTTTTTGAAGAGTCATAATATTAAAGGGTTATTCACTGCAAGAAAACCAAGAATTAGTGTCAAAAATTAACGATGGGCGACCAATATAAAATGCAAAGTTTAGAAATGGAATTGCGATAGAATATTAGCGACGGATAGTGTTCCATCACTAAATCGTATAGGAAAAATATACGCCTAACGGCGGAATAGCTACAGATTTATGAGACAAATTAGAGACGAAATAGCAATTCCATCGTTAATTCCCATTGTTTGAGTAGTGACGATTGCTTTCGACGTAAACTTTTAATTTCTCTTACTAGTTAACGATTAAACACTTTTCGTTGCTAACTTTCTCCCATTTTTGAAAATTTTGAAAAATGAAGCGCTAGTTTGAAATTAGAATTAGTGATGGACACTTAAATTCTTAGTTAATTAGCGACATACTAGTGACAAAATTGCATATGTCGTTAATTCTTAATCTCTAAATCGCCAAAACCCCTTTTTCCTCTCCATTTTATTTTTCTTCCTCCCTCTCATTCCCTTGTTGCCATCGATCGCACATCCCCAAAACCACCACACAACATGACTCCACTCCCTTCCTAGTATATTCCAATTAACGCGAGTGCTCTTCTCTCCCCAAAAAGTCAAGAGTTTCATCCATCTCCTTCCTTTCATCTACTGTCTCCAAAGGCTAGTTCTCTCTTCCCTTTTTTTTTTTTTTTTTTTTTTGTAGCCATTAGCTATTTATATTAATTGTTAGGTTAGTTTTGATTAATTAGTTAATTTATTGGTTTTGTTTGTTGTTAGGATTTTTTGTTAATTTAATTAATTAATCTAAATTAGTGTTAATTGAGTTAGGTTAATTTCAAATAGGGTGAATTTAAATTAGTTATTAATTGGTTAATTAGGTTAATTTAATTAGGATGAATTGTATTATTTAATTTGAATTTAAATAAGGGTTAATTAGGATTAATTTAAATTAGTTGTCGGTTGATTAATTAGGTTAATTTAAAATACGTTTAAATGAATTATGTTAATTGAATTTATTAATTATAATTATTGCTAATTGAGATAGGTTAATTTTAATCGAGTTAATTTGATTAATTATGTGTTAAATGAAGTATGTTAATATTGATTAATTAGTGTTAATTTGAATTAGTATTAAATGAATTTAGGTCAATTTTGATTAATTATGTTATTTTTTTTATTAAAGTTGATTTAATTAGGTTTATTTTGTCAAATTTGTTACATTTTAATTTTATTGTTATGTTAACTAATAGTTAATTTAAATGTAATTAGGTTAATTTTTATTAATTTTTTAAGTGTATTTAAAATAGAATATATTTCCAATTTTCTTTGAATAGTTATATGCTTTAATTATTTATTTTATGATTATTGAAGTGTATCAAAATAGATCTTAGCATATCGAACTCGAGTGGTCCAAGGCCTTCGAGAATTGAGAGAAACAAGTTTGGTTCAATGCTCTACTATGAACCTAGAAGGTCAAGTTTGAGATTTAATTTTAATGGATTATACGAGACAAGTGTCGGTCTCGATGTTTGCAAATTGACAATTGTTTGATGTTTGTGTGATATTGACTAGTAAAAAATGTTTGCATGTGTTGTGTATTTCATTTTAGAAATCAAGAAACGTCTAATTTATAAGAGAGATTCTTTTTTTTTTTCCATAGGAATGTTAATCAAGAATTGTTTGCATGTGTGGTATAATTTTTGTATATATTAAAAAAATGAGATCCAATTGGTAATGGATGAATGTTAGGTTAGTTAATGAGTTGTTAAATGATGAGTTTGTCAAAAAGGTTGAATAATTTATTTATTGCACTTTTTGTTACACATTTTGAATTTATGGATGAAACTAAAATAAGGTGTCCTTGTAATCACGATGAATCTGTCGGAACATAAATGTTGAGACAATTGAAATGGTAAAATATCATTTATAGCATAAGAGTTTTGTACCGGGATATTATGATTGGATACATCATGGAGAATTTTAGTCATACATGACATCTTATGATTTTAGGAGTCATTTTGTTTCTAAAAATTACTGTGTAGGCGAAGGTAATTCTAGTGAACCCCAAAATCCATATCAAATAATGGTGATGGATGGAGTTGGTCCATTCTTTGATCCGTCTAGCATGAAGAAGGTACTAAATCCTAGTGCTCGGGCCTTTTATAATATGTTAAATGCGTCTCGTAGATAGATTTGGTATGGTTTTTATAATCACTCATAGTTGTCAACAATTACCCAATTGTTGAACCTAAAATAAGAATATTATTTTCCTAAGAAAATGTTACAACTAGTTATGTGAGTCGGTGAAAGAGTTCATGCATGTTGATAACTATATGATAGATAGCTTTAATAAAACAAAGACACCGGTTAAGAGGATGAGTTTACCAATTAAAAAGATTCATTATTATGAGAGAGTTGTATGTTATATTGGGATGAAAATAGTGAATTAGATACATACAAGTTTTGTTCGGATCCTCGATATTGAAGTCCCCATCGAGGATTGATAAGAGGAAATTTTATTACAATAAAAAAATATTATTTTTCGCTCACCTCGCGGTTGCATAGATTATATGCATCAAATGCCACAAACCGAGTACATGATGTGGCATGCCGAGCATGAGGTAGAGAATGCAAGAGTAATGCGTCATCCCACTAACTCTATTACATGGTAGATTTTCGATCGGATTCATGTTCTTTCACAACTAAAGAAAGAATATCAAATTAGGAGTTTGCACCGATAAGTTTCAACCATTCGATCAATCTAATGCGTAATATTTTTCTTGGTCGGTAATTGTAACTCCATACAATCGCCACTATGGATGTGTATGAAAGAGGAATATATGTTCCTAATATTGATTATTCTAGGTCCAATAAATCCAAAGTATAAGTTAGGCATTTACTTGCAGCCTTTGATTGTTGAGCTAATTCATTTATAGGAAGTGGGTGTAGTGATATATGATGTCTATTGTAAGCTGAATTTTATATTGAGAGGCTGCAGTGATGTGGACTATTGACTTTTCTATATGATGTTGTCCGATTGGAGTACTGTAGGAAAATTAGCATGTCTTTACTACATGAAAAATCTTGATACTTTCTATCTTTTTAATGAAAGAAAGACCTCGTGTTTGACAATCATCGAAAGTTTTTTTTCCTCAAGATCATCCATTTAAAAGGAAGAAAAAGCATTCACCGGTAAAAAAAAAGGTTGTCGGATGTGGCCCTCCTTCAATCCAATATGGTGCTAAGATGTTACAATGGGTGGAATAGTAGGGGTTTTCAAGGTGATAGAAAAAGATGCGGATGATCATAATAGCAAAATCTCTTAGATGTATGGAAGGAAGAAATAGAGTATTTTTTTTTAAGATTTACCTTACTAGAGTACAAATCTCATTTAGCACAATTTAAATGTCATGCATTTGAGAAAAAAATGTTCGATAAAGTTTTTAACACTATCACGAATGTGTTGGACAAGACTAAAGACAATGCCAACTCTAGAGAAAATTTGAAACTTTTTTGTAATAGGCCGAATTAGTCTAAAACTATTTCCAAACAAAAAAAAAATTACTTAAATGGATCAAACAACTCGGGTTTCTCGAAAGATATATATCCAACCTAGTTAGATGTGTTAATATGAGGAAGGACAAATTGTATGGAATGAAAAGTTATGACTCGTCATGTCTTTATACGAGAGGTTGGTTTTCATTCCATTTTGAGAGCTTTTATTGGGAAATGTTTATCAAGTTGAGTTTGTTCTTCAAACAATTGACTTCTACTTTGATAAGAGAAGAAGATACGTGGCAAGGTGCAAAGGACAAAAGGCTTTTTTTTATTAGGCAAGAGGTGTGGGATTCATGGCGGTGAGAATTTACCACACCTAATCGCCAAGCACGTTTGGAACAAGCTTCACTTAAGCAAATATCGAAGACTAATGGTGTTGATTGAGGCTCATCAAGCCATACATAGGGGTCCATCTCTACCGTTGAGCACACTTTCCACATGATAAATCCTATCCTATACTATTCAATGTTTAAGAAATTAATATTTGTAACTCATATTATTTCTGTCTATTTTTTTTAAGTTGTCCAATTGAAGCATAAGCCTACTAATTTAGAGTTGTTTGGGGCCACTCACAAGTGGAGAAATGGGACGTTCATCGATTTGCGAGCCCAAACAATAATTGTAAGTGTTTTTCATTTTTAAATTATACATATGCAAATATAATCTAATTTTTTTATTTTTTAATGTTATAATTATTTTAATTACGCGAGATCGTGTAGAGAAGTTGATACGGGAAGTTATTAGGAAGCAATAAGAGGCTAGAATTGAGGAGCCACGGAGTTGACACGAATGCTATATACCTTGAAGCCATAGGAAGGGAGAAGAAGAAGAGGATTTACAAGTTCTAATCGTAGGCATCGTAGTATTTATCCGATTTAGCTAGCGTCGGCTCATCCTCTATATCATTGCGGTTCCTCGATGACAATGTCGATGAGATTCGTAGCCGGTACGAGGAGATGATGAGGGGAATGCGAGTAAGGTTTAGACGAGCGGAATAACATTATCACACAGTAGCAAATGAAGATTCGGGGGATGGAGACTCGGACCGAGTCGATTATAGTGATGTCACATAGGTTAGTGTAGACATCGGCTTGCTTACTAACCCATACACCAATAAGGACTCCACTATCCCTCCCATCGAGCCGCAAGAGGATGAGAGAGGATTACATGATCATGATGAGGAATGACTTTTACATTTTCTTTTATGTTATTATTCTTTTTCTTACATACTAGCGAAAAAAATTTTTAATATAAATTTTAATTTAATTTATAATATTTTAATTTTAATACAAAAATTAATTTTATAATAGTTGTTTGTTTTAATTGTTAGTTACTACGGAAAATATAAAAAAAATTAAATTAAATTAAAAAAATTATTAGCGATGAAAATGAAGATAAAAAAATAATTTTTACTAAAAAAACAACAATGGAAATGTACGGTCGCTAGTTAACGATGGAATAGTAACCCATTTTAGTATCGGATAATAGTGATGGATTTTCGATTGTTACTTAGTGTCGAATTACGACTATTATATGGTGGAAAGATGACGGTTTTGGCATCCACTTAATGATGGAATAAAATGAATTAGCGACGGACACTCGTGCATTCCATCATAGAGATTAGCGATAAAGTTTTTTGGTAGCAAATCCGTCGCTAAGTCATTTTAGCAACGGAATTTGCTTGTGATGGCGATGGATTTTTCCATTGCTATTTCACCGATTTTTTGTAGTGATTATATATTCCTAATTATATACTATAAAAAGCTATTTCTTCCTAATTATTTATAAAGTACATATAAGATATGGTTTTTCTCATATTTAATTGGACCATGTACTTTTAATTTTTCTTAATTAAGATTTTAATTTTATTATTATTATAATTATTTTTAGTTTGATTGAGATTTTTTACTCTTCGAGGTTTTTTATTTCGGATTCTCCATTATAATTGTACCAATCAATAATCGATACCTCTTTGAGATTTTTTATTTTATAATGTTACGTGTCGATTATTAATTAATGACATTATAACGAAGTTTGAAGTAAAAAAATTTAAAAAATAAAAGGTTTCAATAAAAAAATTTGAAAAATATAGAGTTCAAATATATATAAAAAAAAAATCCATGTAAGATGGTAAGTATCTTATATGATTTGAATCCTGAAATATCATTAGAAATATGATTAACCAACATGTTAACTAATTGATCACAATAAATCATACCTCCACTTAATTTCATCCGAGCTTTATCCAAGTCATGAAGAATCACTTTGGCTACGAACTTACATCCATTGAAATATGCACTATACATATATAAAAGGAATGTCTAAAGAATTATTTTTAAACTTACATCAGCAAGAGTCATGACAGACATTAATATTTTAGGTGTGGCGATTTGATCATTATGATACGATTGAGATGGATTAGGATGGAAGAATGAATCATATGCATCATCATTCCAAATTCATGAAACCATTAAAGTGGGGTTAGAATAAAGAAGTTTTAATGTTGTCAATATATTCAAAGTTTCCATCTTTGAATCTATAATATTCTCTAACCAAACTATTCCTTACGGATGCCAAGAAAATATATGATCAGAACTAATTATTTAAAAAAATATATATGTCATATATTTGGAATCCTAGGTTGAAATTCCTTAATGATCATAATCGCACATGTTCCATAATCACAACCCAAAATAATAATAATAATAATAATAATAACTCCTTAATTAATGCATGTACCAGCATATATGTGTTTAGCCTTTTGGTACACTGACTTTTAATATTCTCTCGATAGAATGTAACCTATAATATATGCTATATTCTATGATAAAACTTCAATTCCATAATTTTTATATATAAGCAATTATAATTGCCCAAATCATTTTACTTATTGTCAAAGGATCCTCTCAACCCAAAAGTTTAATTTTTAAAGGAAGATTTCAAGATATAATTTATATTATTCTTTAACACATCCCTTCAAATAAAACCTCTTTAGACTTGAAACTTATACGGACCCACACTATCTTGTACTTAATTAATTACAAGAGAAAGTGAAGGTGGTAAGATTCGAACTCTTTACCGTTAAATTAACAAGACTCGATACCATGTTAAACGATCATGTCAATCCAAAAGGTTAAGTTTTTAAGTGAGACCTCAAGATATAATTTATATTATGTTCTAATACTTATAACTAGTTGAATTCCGAATATTATTTTCTTTTTGCTATCTACCATATTTTTCAAATTAATTTTCATGTATTGAATTAAATCCATCTATCTTATCTGATTAAGAACAGATAACCTATATTAAGATTATGGGATTCATAAAAAAGAAAAAAAATTGATGAAATTGAAATTTTTTTATGAGACATTCCAATAAATGAAAATTTGAATGACAAGTGAAGGGAACCCTTTTCATGATCAGTGATGACAAGCTTTTGATCCAAAAATTACTGTTCAGCTCACTTGATGTAAAATTCTATTCTTTTATGAAAAAGACTCAAAACGGACGGTGAGTAAGTCTCAAAAGATTCTAAAAAATCCATATATCTTCCATCTTCATCAGCCATACGTGCACATTCTTTTTTGATAAGTAATCCATAAAATAAGAACTCCACGTACGTATAATATGAGCTAGGGAACAATATGAATCCCCAACTTTATATATATATATATATATATATATATATATATATAAGCAAACGTCCAACTTTACAAAGTGAGTTATCCCACATAAAATACCATCGACAATAAAATATTTGGACCTTGCAAAGGATAAATGGACACTTAACAGAAATTCCACTGAAGTTCCCATTAAAAATATAAATTATGAAAGTATAGTTAATTGGATGAGTGATTAACCAGTCATAAAATTCAATAATATTTTATCTCACATTTTCATTTTGCCTGCTTCATCATATACTATACAAACTATTGAGTATCTATCTAGATATTAGAACAAGATATGATTATATGCTTTTTGGTTAGACAGAACCTACTGAAAGATCTTATCTAAAGGTTCCAAAATTAATGAATTAACCAACAAATTAAATATAATTAATTCTAACAAATTCATCAATAATAATAAAAAATAGTATAGCTAACTAGCAAAATAGCAGTGGATAAAAAATTCGGCATGTTTTGATGATAATTTAATTTAAAAAATGATAAACTTAATGTGGGATGATGTAAAATCATGGTCTAAAAATATACGATTACATGTAAATTTTTTTTAAAAAAAAATTCCTACGAACGGCTCACAAGCTAGGATTTTAGTGACATATAACAGTTTTAGAAAGAATCATCTTATAAGTGAAGTTTAATTAAATTGTGCAGTTAGGCACTCAAGATATATATATATATATATATATATAATTTGCTAAAAAAGATATATTATCGAGAATTTTATTCACATAATGGAAAGTGAGCAGCTAGTTCATCGTGACATAAAAAATTCGGCATGTTTTGATGATGATTTAATTTAAAAAATGATAAATTTAATTTCAAGAGATCTAAAATTTGGTTTAAAATATACGACTACATGTAAATATAAGGAAAAAAATTCCTACAAATGGATCACAAGCTAGCATGTTAGTCACTTAATAGTTTTAGAAAGAATCATCTTATAAGTGAAGTTTAATTAAATTGTGCAGTTAGGCACGATGAACATCTCTTAAATACTAATTAATTACTCAAGATTTTTTTTGCTGAAAAAAAGATATATTATTGAGAATTTTATCCACATAATGGAAGGGAGCAGCTAATTAACACGTAATGGGCATCGTACAGTAAGGACTGTTCCAATGGATTGATGGAGATGAATGCTTCGCAATGCCGCGTAGACCGGCCGATGGAGCATGTCGAACCCAACAAGCGTGCAGGGGCCACCACTCCCCACCACCACCACCACCACCACCATCAGATTACATATCCCCCTCCGTTGGCGTCAGTATGCACCAAACTAAATTCTCTTTTGTTTAGCTCTCAAATCTTATGCCACTAAGGCAAACCAGTGTGGATCCCACTCGCCACAATCAAGCCTTCCTATTGGCTGCCACGTGGAACCCCCATCAACCATACAAGGATCGATATAGGTAGCAGCTAATCAGAATATTCAAATAGATGCACCATTGGAGCAAGGGCAGCAAACGTGTGTGTGTAAGATTCTCACACGCTTGAAAGTCTCTATTTTATTACATTATTAGCATTCTCACTATTTTGGATAGACGCCTTCGTGCCCCAAGTTCCTATATATAGCGGCCTTGTTAGCCATTTTTACTTAGGAGACACATACAAGCAACCTGGACTTGAAGTAGTCTTCCTCAGTTCCTCCGTTCTTTTACCTCTTCTCCTTCTCTTGATCTTCTCATTAATTACCAAACGTTAAGCTAGAACCCAACAAAAGAAAAACAAAATGGAGAGGAGTGGTTGTTTAGGAAATTTTTTTCAAAGTTGCAAGCCTTACATAGCCATGATATCTTTGCAATTTGGCTATGCTGGCATGAACATAATCACCAAGGTTTCTCTTAATCGAGGGATGAGTCATTATGTGCTAGTGGTCTATAGGCATGCCTTCGCTACTGCTGTTATTGCTCCTTTTGCTATTGTTCTTGAGAGGTATACAAATATGTTACCATGATTCAAGAGATTACTAAAGTTTGTTGATCTTAATTGGTAGCAAATTTTATTCACTTTGGGTTTTCTTTTGGGTTCAGGAAAGTAAGACCAAAGATTACATTTCCCATTTTCATGCAAATGTTTGTGCTGGGTCTTCTTGGGTTAGTATTTTCTCCTTGGCATGATCACATGGTTCTAAACTTTTGGAAGATATTGAAGTTAATAAAGACAGTCAATCTTAACTTCTTCCTTTTGTCTTTTCTTGGTCTAACAGGCCTGTGATTGATCAAAACTTTTACTATGCCGGGTTGAAATTCACTTCTCCTACCTTCTCTTGTGCCATGAGTAACATGCTGCCTGCAATGACATTTGTCATGGCAGTTCTTTGCAGGTACTGTAATCATTTCTCTGTTTCAAGCTCTGTTTTTTTCTCTCTGTATCCTCCTCTTCTTTTGTTACTTTGGCCTGAGTGACTAACTAGCTGATGTACTTGCTTTGGTGGGCTTGTACTAAAATTATATATAGGATGGAGATAGTGAACATGAAGAAAGTTAGATGCCAAGCAAAGGTGATCGGAACTATAGTAACTGTAGCTGGAGCCATGCTGATGACATTGTACAAGGGTCATGTTATCAATTTGGTCTGGTCTGAAAATGCTCATGCTCATGCATCTTCTGTTCCTGACACAACTGGACAAAGTGATAAAGATTGGCTTAAGGGTTCCATTCTCCTCATCATTGCTACACTTGCTTGGGCCTCATTCTTCGTTCTCCAGGTGAATAGAATGAATAATATAATTTTTTGTTTGTGATTTTGAACCAAAGGAGTCAAGAACTTTAACTTTTTGTTACTTTGTATTTTACAGGCAGTGACACTTAGGAGGTACTCAGCTCAGCTTTCTCTTACAACCATCGTGTGCTTTTTGGGTACACTACAGTCCATAGCTGTCACCTTTGTGATGGAACACAAGCCTTCTGCTTGGACCATTGGCTGGGACATGAATCTTCTTGCTGCTGCCTATGCTGTGAGTCTTCTACACGCTCAAACAGGTTAAAATATGTGTTAATAGTAAAGGCGCTAACAAGTGTAATTTTCATGTACAGGGAATTGTGTCATCAAGCATCGCATACTATGTTCAAGGACTTGTCATGCAAAAAAAAGGGCCTGTCTTTGTCACTGCTTTTAGTCCTTTGATGATGATCGTAGTTGCAATCATGGGCTCTTTCATTCTGGCTGAGAAGATTTATGTTGGAGGGTAATTTCCTATTTCCTCAAAAAAAAATAAATAAATAAATAAATCAGCCTTTTTTATCCATTTGAATTTAACCCACTCACTAATAAATTAAATTTTATTTGGTTTTACAGTGTTCTAGGTGCTATATTAATTGTAGCTGGACTCTACGCGGTTCTGTGGGGCAAGCACAAGGAACACAAAGAAAAAGAAGCAGAAATTATCCCAGAACCAATCAAAGAAAATGGAGGGAATGGTCAGTCACCAGGAATGATCCAGGACATTGAAGCTAACCATGACATTGAGATGCAAACAAGTCAAGCTAACAAGGTGACCGTGCCGGCTGTGGCTATTACTGTTCCAGGTTCACAGGCTACCATGATAACCAAGGAAGCACCAAGAGCTTAGTTAGTGCAGGAAAGAAGAGATAAAAAGAGAAATAATAGAATCAACTTCAGAGTGATCGTGGAAGTAAGACGGAAAGAAATTAATTAAGCTTTCTTTTTCTTTTTTTGTAATTTCAACTTTACTATTTTTACCCTTTTTTATTTTTTTGGGGTTGCCTTTTTTTTTTCTTTTCTTTTTTTCTTTTTTTTCTGGTGGGAGGTAAAAATTTATGGGACATGTAATCTTCCATACGTCATTGTAAGGTGATATTCTGGTGATGAAAAGGAAATGAGAAAATGCGGAATCTTTTGTATTAATTTGGCTTTTATAACTATACAGTGTCCTGTCTAAACTCCAAATTGATTAATTACAATCCTGGAATTTTTGTTTGACATGTAATAGAATTGATTACGTCCTAGGCAGATTCCACTCGGTGCGCATGTGGCTGACCTTTCCTTTGTTTCCATCATGTCACTTCTCATTTAGAGGAAGTAATGGAAATCTGACATATCATTTTATGTTGTTGCATTCCTTCCTAATTATACATATATGTTTCTTTGGTCATTCTTGTTCCCACTGACATTGGCAAATCAAGTTAATCCTGGAAATACCCATTGATCTTATTCCTTTGATACTTCAATGTGTTGCTGAAGATCTCTTTTCAAAATAGGATAATATTGATGATATTAGTTGACACGGATTTTATTTCTTTATCGTAGTATAATGTGAGCATTATCCTCCAAAGCAAAATATTGAATAGAATCATTCATAAAAAGCCAAGAAAATTTTCAGAAAAAAAAAAAGAAATTATAAGTCACCAATATCATTGAACAAAAATGATAGGCATATATTAATATGAAAGAGAGGAAACCTACTATAGATCCCAAAAGAAAGAATTGTGCTTGTTAGTTCTTAAAATAATAAAACTGTTTTAAAATTAAAAAGGGAAAAGAACATATTTGTCCCTCATCTATGACTTGATTCTCAAGTGGGCTCCCGAATATGATGAATTCCCGATCGAATTCTCTACCTGTCTAACATTACTAAATTAACCTCCACCGTCAAAATTACTGTAAAAGTAAAAATTTTATTACATAGTTGATTTAATTGGGTTATGTCCTCCACATGGGGATCCAACTGAAATTGTTTTTGTTCTGAGACCCGAATTGATTTAATTTGTTCTTTTCCCAAATAAGAATTATTCCTTATTCATATGATTGTCATGATTAATTCTGGTAAATTTTACCCGGGATATTTGCTGATCAAAATTCCTCTCTTTTTTATTGGATAACTCAGGGAGAGAATATATTAATTTTGAAACTTAATTTGTACCATATAATAGAAAATGATCAGACACCAAGTGATGCATACAATGACTTGAAATAAGTTAAATATCGAGTGAACATATGTTCAATATATTTTTACTGTAATAATAATGCGTTTTTTTTAACTTGCCAAAAATTACGAGTTCAAATTTATGTTCCGCTGTCTACTGACTATTAGCGAACATAGCATCAAAACATGCATGTTATCATATTAGAACCAGACATACCTATACCACGTACAAATGTTCTGATTCCTAATTTCTAGTTTGAGTAACATTAAGGGGTCTAGTTGTACGTTTTGCACGCTCTCACTTTTTAGGATAATATTACCACCTCTTCATTCCACTTTCATCGTATCCTTCCTAACTTGATCATATTCGAACCTAAATAATCTATCACCTCTGACAATCTCGTGTTGTTGCCATCTCAAGATTGATGTAATGCTTACCAGGTTGATTCTCATATCCTAGGCTAGATCGATCATGTCTTCTAGGGTTTGCTAAAATCCTATGGAACAACCAAAACAAGAAATCGATTGTCGCTAACCTTTGCAATAGATTAAAAACTATCCATCGTTAAAATGGTGTTTCCATCACAAAATAACTAAAAAAAGACACCCAAAGATACGTTGCTAATTTGAGGCAAATCATCTTTAATCCGTTGCTAAATAACGATAGTAGAATCGTTTTTGGTTTTCGATGCTAATTCTAGCCGTTAATCCGTCTTCATTATGTTCGCTAGATTGATGTAATATTGTGATGGATTTATTTCATCACTTTATTTTTGACCGAATTTAATATATTTTTTAAATTTGTCGATAATCGATTGCTAATTCGTTGCAATTACGTCGCTAATTCATCAAGATTTTTTTCATTTAATTTTAAAATTTTTGATATTCTCGATAATAACTAATAATTAAAATAAACAACTTATTATAAAAATTAAATTTTTTATTAAAATTAAAATTGATATTTAGAAAAAATATTCATTAGTACCTAAGAAAAAGAAAAAAAAACATAAAAGAAAAAGTAAAAGTCACTTCATATCATGTAATCCCCTTTCATTTTCTTGGGCCTCGATTGGAGGGACGGTGGAATCATAGTGCTTGCCGGGAGGGACGATGCCATCCCGGAGCTTCGCCGGGAGGGACGGTGTTGTCCCGGGGTTCGCCGGAAGTGATTGTGGAGTCCTCATTGGTGGAGGGGTTAGTAGGCAATCGGGTTTGTCGTGCCATCCTCTCTAACGTTAATGTAATGGAATGCATACGAGTTTTCATCCCTTGGATCTTCAATTACTACTCGCGTGATAATGTTGTTATGCTTCTTTAACCTCTCCTGCATTGCTCTCATCGTCTCTACATATTGAGTTGGAATTTGTTCAGCATCATTGGCGTTGGAACATTGTGATACTACGGAGGAGTAGTTGGTGCTAGTTGATTAGGATAAATAATAAGACGCCTTTGACCCGATCCCATAAAGCCTTTTCTTCTTCTCCCCTCCTACAACATCGAAGTATATGGCATCCGTGTTGACTTGTGGATCCTTAATTCTAGCCTCTCGTTGCCTCCTTACAAATTCTTGTATCATCTTCTCCACACGCTACTACGTAATCAAAATAATTATAACATTAATAAAAAAAATAAAATAATTAAGTTTTTAGATTATATTTTCATATATATGATATAAAAATGACAAAAAGCTTGTCATTGTAGACTAGACTCGTAAATCGATGATATTCTCATCTCTTTGCTTGTGAGTGACCTCAAACAACTCTAAACTTGTAGGCTAATGCCCTAATTTCACACCCGAATAAAGTTAACACAAATAATATATGAGATACAAATATTATTTTTAAAAAATATTTAATAACATATGATAGGATTTACCAAGGGATAGGCATGCTCGGAAGCAAATATAGACCCTCATGTATGCCTGGATGGTCATGAACCAACACCATAGGTCTTTGACATCCGGTTACGTAATGCCTACTTCGAACACGTCCGATAATCGAGTGTAGCAAAATCTTGCTCGTCATGAATTCCATGCCTCCTACCTAACAAAAAAAGGCCTTTCATCTTCATACCATGCTTATGGACAAAGTTAAAGGAGTGCTTCATAGCCAAAGCCTCCCAAGCATCTATAGCTCGAGCCTCCATGGTCGGATCCTAGTTAAAAAGCTTCTACATAAAAAAAAAATTAATATTAGTTCATTTCAAGTTAAATTAATAATTTACATGTAATATAAATAAATAAGTAATACGTTATTTTAAACTCGATTGTAGTAGAACCGTTCGTCCGCTCCGTAATGGACTTCCAAGTCGAGCCACCGACATCCAATTGCTTCTTTGAAAATCATAGTTAACCTTTTAAAGCAATTTCTCTAACACGATAGGAAACTATTGAACACCACCAAAAAAAGACATTTAATAATTATTGAAATGATATATTAAAAAAATAATTACAAGGTTTTCATTAAATTACTTATCGATAATTAACGATCGAAATCAACCATCGCATATCGAAGTCTCGGGAGCTACTCGGACCGGTAGTATATCAATGGATGAGGGATCCCCATGGGAAGCTAAGGAAGCTTGATGGCTACGAGAGCCAAATGAATGATCATGGAATAAAACTCCGCAGCCAATGCGGAATTACTAGCTTTGGAGAGGAATAAGATGAACATCATATGCCGTGGGATCCACTTAGAGTGCCCGAAGAGGGAGATCCACTACGGATGTTGGATGGGGAACCATGTATGCTCGTCATCGGGCGAGGATCCACGTCTATGACTACTAAATTGTGATCCTCGAGGGGTGGTGGGAGGTCGGTGTGAACCATACATCATTGCTGGATAATATCACCTAAGACAATTAAAAAAAAACACAAAAAAAAAAAAACATATCAATTGTGAGCATAAAGAAAAACAAAATTTCAAAAACGTCCCCTAAAAATTAGATATTTTCTAATTACCTAATACACAATCCGCTTAAAACACAACACAACCAAAATACACAATAAATATTTTAAAAATATATCAAATTCAATATGATATACTCGTAATAAATAAAAAAAAAAAAAAGACATCATTTATTGCTAATAAAACTAATATTTAATTACAACCATCATAATCGTTATTTTAGTGTACATCTCCCTCATCCGATATAAATTCATATTCATTATCATCTTCTTCGTAGGTCTCAACTAATTCTATATCTACAAACAATCCATTTAGATCATTCAATAATATATCTTCCACTACATCTTGTATTAAATTGTGTCGGATTTCTAAATCATTCTACCGAAATGGTTCAACATTTTATTAGACTCCAATGGATGATTTAGACAAGTCAAACATAGACCTAGCTTTGATCTTAAAAGCCGCTCACTAACCTCAATTGTCCCGCCTCATGTTAGGGTACTTAGCATAATATACCCGATCCAACTCGTGATACTAGGATAAACGGTTCGTAATTCCTCAACCTTAAATAATTAAAAGATATAACTCCAATTAAAAACAAATTTGAAAGAAATTTATTTTTTTTTAACTTTTTTATGGTCTAAGCTAAACGTATTTAGTCTTGAAGTCATTTCAAGTTTCTATACTTGTCCGAATTACTAGTAGGGTAATTCAACTTCTAACCTTATGCAAGAGGAGATAGGGGAAGATTATTCCACCATTTCTTATGCATAAGGTGAG